GTGGAGACAACATTTGAATATATTATAATTAGGTCATATAGGTCAAAAGATGAAGCAGACATGAAAAACACTCAAATGTGCAGCCTCTATAAACTAACCAGAACCAGTCCAAGGCTGGTGGCCTCTTAACAGGAGAAAGTTACTGAAATTAGTCACTTGTCCAATCAAAGCTGTAGTTTGGGCTAGTGGAACATGTGAGTGGGGGTCAGCATCTTATTATAATATTTCTTATCCGGAGGCCAGTGTTTGCTCAGTTGCTAGAGAAAAAGAAACACCTTGTGGCAGTTAGAACACAGTTTATTCTTTAGGTGTGGGCGTGTGTGACTTAACCTTTGTCTTAGTTGTGTTTATAACTTGGTATCTTATTAACACAAAGAGATATGTTCCTATTATGCTTAGTTTGTTGAGTGTTTTTGTCAAGAATGGGTGCTGAATTTTGTCAAATGCTTTCTCAAGAGACACAGGCTGGCTGAACGGATAAAAAAATACAACCCAAGTATGTGCTATCTCCAGGGAACACATCTAACTCACAAGGACTCAAACAGTCACAAGGTGAAGAAATGGAAAAAAAAATATTTCATGCAAATGGAAAGTAAAGGAAGTAAGTGTAGCCATTCTCATATCATATAAAATTGACTTCAAATCAACAACAGTAGAGAAAGGCAAAGATGGTCATTATATAATGGTAAAGGGAGCAATTCAATAAGAAGACATAACAATTCTAAATGTTTACATACCTAACACAGGAGCACCCAGATTAATAAAGCAAACCCTACTAAATCTAATCAAAAAGATAAACAGCAACATCATAATTGCCAAGGGCTTCAATACTCCACTGAAAGAAATGGACAGATCATCTAACCTAGAAAATAAAGAAAGAAATACTGACTTAAATGTGACTCTACAACAAATGGATGTAACAGACATTTACAGAAAATTTTTCCCATTAACTACTGCATACACATTCTTCTCATTAGTGCATGGAACATTCTTCAAAATTGATTATATCTTAGGCCCCAAAACATGTCTCAACAAATTCAAAAATATAGAGATCATATCCTGTATCTTCTCAGACCACAATGCAATAAAACTAGAAATCAACTCTAAGAGAAACACTCAATTCTACACAAAGTCACAGAAATTAAACAACCTTCTCCTCAACAATTCCTGGATCCATAATGAAATTAAGGTAGAAATCAAAAGATTCCTTGAATTGAACGACAAAGGCAGTCCAGAGCAGAAAATTCATAGCCTTAAATGCTTACATCAAAAAAACAGAAAGATGACAAATTAAAACTCTAATGATACATCTCAAGAAACTAGAAAAGGAAGGGCAAACCAAACTGAAAGCTAGCAAGAGAACAGAAATAAGTAAGGTCAGAGCAGAACTAAACGAAATGGAAAATAAAAAACCAATGCAGGTCCCATTTATTTATTTTTGTTGTTACTGTGATTGCTTTTGGGGTCTTCATAAATTCTGTGCCTAGGCTGATGTCTGTAAGAGTTTTTACAACATTTTCTTCTAGAATTCTTATAGTTTCATGCCTTAGGTTTAAGTCTGTTGTCCATTGTGAGTTGATTTTTGGGAATGATGAAAGGTGCGGATCCTATTTCAGACTTCTACATGTGGCTATCCGATTTTCCCAGCACCATTTATTGGATAGGGATTCTTTACCCCAGTGTATGTTTGCTAAAACACCTTGGTACTGGCACAAGAACAGAGACATAGACCAATGGATCAGAACAGAGAACCCAAATATAAAACCATCCTCATATTGCCATCTGATCTTTGACAAAGCAGACAAAAACATTTACTGTGGTTACTGAAAAGTTAAAATCACTCTGAATCTCACTTTCCATATATTATCAACTATATAAACATTCTCAATAGGATTACTATGAGGTATGTGTTAATTGCTCCATGAAATGATTTGGTAACATATCAATTCCTATAATAATGTTTATTTTATGTAAAATTATGGATGAGAATGGGCATTAACCCACCTCTGGAACCTCTTCTCGTACAAACATCTTTCTTTTATAAATAGCTGTGTGGAAGAAGAGATGAAAAGTGACAGAGAAAGTGTTAACACACTCAGTTTAGTTTAAACACCTATCACTAACCACCAGGTCATATAACTATGTCTAAGTCTACTCCTTGAATCTTCTCTACCACAGAGTGGATATGTCACACACCAGAAAAGATTTAGTGCTACAAATTTGGAGTGATCACATTACTTTTTTTTTGAGCAGCAAAGTTGCTAGCCCTTAAAGTTCTGCAAGATTAAATCATAGCAGACATCGCATGTTAGAGAGTTAATGGATCCATGCATGTTATAACAAAAGCTTCTGCACAGCCAAGGAAACAATCATTAGAGTGAATAGACAACCTACAGAAAATATTTGTGTGCTATATATCCCATAAAGGGCTGATAACCAGAATCTACAAAGAACTCAAACAAATCACCAAGAAAAATATCAAACAACCCCATTAAAAAGTGGGCAAAAGACACGAACAGAAAATTTTCAAAAGAAGATAGACTAATGGCCAACAAACATGAAAAAATCCTCAACATCTCTAATAATCAGGGAAATACACATGAAAACCACAATGAGATATCACTTAACTCCAGTGAGAATGGCTTATATCAAAAAATCCCGAACCAATAAATATTGGTGTGAATGTGGAGAGATAGAAACACTCATACACTGCTGGAGGGACTGCAAACTAGTACAACTTCTATGGAAAGTAGTATGGAGATACCTCAAAGAGCTAAAAATAGAACTACCATTTGATCCAGCAATTCTACTACTGTGTATTTACCCAAAGGAAAAAAAAAAGACATTCTATAAAAAGGACACCTGTACTCGAGTGTTTATAGTAGCACGATTCACAATTGCAAAGATGTGGAAACAACTCAAGTGTCCATTAATACATGAGTGGATGAATCAAATGTGGTATATGTATAGCATGGAATACTACTCAGCCATAAAAGAATGATAGACTAATACTATTAACCTGGATGGAGCTGGAGACCATTCTTCTAAGTATCACAAGAATGGAAAAACAAACACCATATGTACTTACCATAAATTGGAACTAATCATTCAACACTGTGCTGCACATGTGGAAATAACATTCATCGGAAGTCAAGCAGGTGGGAGGGGTGAGGAGGGGATGAGTAAAATCACACCTAACAGGTACAATTCACAATATCTGGGGTATGGTTATGGCACAAAATTAATTTATGTAACCAAATCATTTGCACCCCCAATAATATTCTGAAATAAATAAATAAATAATACAAAGTATCAATGAAACAAAAAGATGGTTATTTAAAAAGATATGCAAAATTGATAGACTTGCTGGATTAACCAGGGATAGAAGAAAAAGGACCCAAATAAGCTCAATCAGAAATGAAAAGGAGATATTACAACTGATACCACAGAAATACAAAATATCATCTGTGAATGCTATGAAAATCTCTATGCACATAAACTCGAAAACATGGAGGGATTGACAAATTCCTGGAAACACACAAAGTCCCAAAACTCAGGAAGAAATAGAACTCCTGAACAGATCAATAACAAGTAATAATATTGAAGTGGTAATAAATAATCTTACAACAAAAAAAACTCCAGACCAGATAGACTCACACCCAAATTTTACCAGACCTACAAAGAAGAGCTGGTACCCATACTGCAGAAACTACTCCATAACATCAAGGACGTGGGAATCCTCCCCAACTCATTCTATGATGCCAGTATCACCTTGATACCAAAGCCAGGAAAGGACACAACATAAAAAGCAAACTACAAACAAATATCCTCTATGAATATAGATGCAAACATCCTCAATAAAATACTAGCAAACCGAACTCAACAACACGTCAAAAAAATAATCCACCATGACCAAGTGGGCTTCATCCCGGGGATGTAAGGACGTTTCAACATATGTCAATGAATAAATGTGATTGACCACATAAACAGAAGCAAAAACAAAGACAATATGATCATCTCAATAGATGCATTTAAAAATATTTGCCCGGCCTTTTACTTACTTTGTGCCAGAAAGTTGGTGTAATATAAACTCCCCTCCCATATCCAGATGTAGAAGTCTCTATACTTACTTTAAACAGAAAGGGTTACCTAGAAAAGAATGTGTCCCAGAAACAAAGGTCGCCTAGTGGTAAAGTGTTGTCAAAGAGCCCCTCCCTCTTCTCTCCACAGAGAATATATGCCTCAACAGAAATCCAATTATTAAGAGAATATTCGTGGTCTTGAGCATTTGCTTAACCTGTATGTGCCTCCCTTAAACCCTCTCTAATATAAGGATTGAAAAAAATGTTAAGGAGTCATTCTCTGGATTAATTAGGTTAATATTGTACTTGTAAATCACTGAGAACAGTGCCCGGAATGTAGTGAATAATTTCATTGTTAACTGCTGTTGCTAATACTGTTACTACAGCTATTGCTACCATTACCAATATTTACCTTCTAGATCTTCTAACTCTCCAAATATGCAAGTACGTAAGAGCAAAATTACTCAATAGATTGTGATTACAAACCTTTTAGTAAACTAGGTTGGGATTCTAGTTGCTAATCCGGGTTATAACAGTGTCAAGGCAGTGGTGTATATCTGGTGAGTATGAGTTTGTGCAAATCCTTTCACATACAATCACTTGAATCAGGTGGAAGCATTGAGCATTTCATTGGCAAGAATTCAAAGTCAGCAGAGACCGTGGTCTAAGCAAGAAGAAAAGCTTCATCCAGCCATCCATTATCATTAATTCCTTTTCCTTTATTTCAAATATGCTATGATGCTTAGTAAGTTCCAGGAATAGGAATTGTTGTGAAAATTAAATGCATTGGGGAAGAAGAAAGGCACTGAGCTTCAGTATGAAGTTTACAACATTGTGGAGAAAGGAAATATTGAATCTGTATATACATATGCACTAGGTATGCTGAAGAAAATACACAGGATTACATGTAATATTATTCTAAGAAATCCTACAAAAATAACAAGCATCACTAGAAAATATTCTTCTACCAAGTTCTCTCTTCAGAGCCCCCTTGATCTTCTTGTTCCTCAGACTGTAGATGAGGGGGTTCAACATGGGGATCACCACCGTGTAGAACACAGACACCACCTTGTTCTGGTCAGTCGAGTAGCTGGACTTGGGCATCACATAAATGAATGTAATGGTCCCATAGAACAGAGTGACCACAGTGAGGTGGGAGGTGCAGGTGGAGAAGGCCTTGTGGCGCCCCTCAGTGGAGTGCGTCTTCAGGATGGTGATGAGGATGTAGATGTAGGAGACGGCTATGACAAGCACAGTGACCAAAATGACTAAGCCAGCAGAAAATGAGGGAACAGCGGCGGGGACACTGGTATCAAAACAGGAGAGTTCAATTAAGGGAGCAAAATCACAGAAAAAATGATTGACTTGATTTGGGCCACAGAACGATAAAGAAAAGAAGGAAAAGATAAAGGAGGAAGCATTAAGAAAACCACCTATATAAGCCACTACGAGTAACTGCACACAGACTTGTGTGGACATTTTGGTGGAATAAACCAGTGGGTTGCAGATTGCCACAAAGCGGTCATAAGCCATGACAGCGAGAAGGAAGCATTCTACTGTTCCAAAGAAAGCAGTTGAACCAAGCTGGGTGACACATCTGAGGTAGGAGATTGTATTTCTCTCCACCAGGAAGTTTACAAGCACGTTGGGTGTGACAGTAGATGAAAAGCCTATGTCAGCAGAAGCCAAGTGGCTCAGAAAAAAATACATGGGGTGATGGAGCTGAGAGGAGATTCTGATTAGAATGATTGTGCTGAGGTTGCCAGAGATGGTCACCAGGTAGATGCACAGGATGATCATGAAGAGGATGACTCGAAGGACTGGATCATCTGTTAATCCCAATAAGATGAACCCTGTCACAGCAGTGTGGTTCCCATACACGAGGGAATCCATGAGTCAATGCAGCTGCTCCTCAAACGAACCTGTGATGAGAACTGTACATTAAAGCAATTATAAATTTGATGGTTGCATTTTCATTAATAGATATATGAAGGTTAATATGAACAAATATATAATTCAAGGAAAGTTTGGACTCAAAATTTTTTTTTATTATTTTTTTTTATTTCAGCATATTACAGGGGTACAAATGTTTAGGTTACATATATTGCCCTTGCAGCATCCGAGTCACAGCTTCAAGCATGTCCATTCCCCAGATGATGCACACCTCACCCATTAAGTGTATATATTCCCATCCCTTCCTCCCCCCCCCACCTGCCTGATACCCAAAGAATGTTACTAATATATGTGCACTTAAGTGTTGATCAGTTAAAACCAATTTGCTGGTGAGTACATGTGGTGCTTGTTTTTCCATTCTTGGGATACTTCACTTAGTAGAATGTGTTCCAGCTCTATCCAGGAGAATACAAGAGGTGCTAGATCACCATTGTTTTTTGTGGCTGAGTAGAACTCCACGGTATACATATACCACATTTTATTAATCCACTCATGTATTTATGGGCACTTGGGTTGCTTCCACATCTTTGTTTTATTGAATTTAGAGTCTCATTGTTATATATTTTTGTGTAATGTGTCATCTATATTTTAAATCATTTTTAAGAGAAACACAAAAACAACTTACTTCACATAATGTATATCCTTTTTTATTCTTTTTATAAAATGTACTTAAAGTGGCTTTGAAGCTAAAGATTTAAAAACATGACAAAAAGGGATCATAAGTACAGCAAAAAAGATTAAAACATCTAAGTGTAGGATTATGCAACAGAGACGAGTATTGGCTAACATTTACTGAATGGTTACTCAATTACTGGCACAAGGGTTAAGAAATATATGTGCATTTTTTAATTCTCATAAAATAATAATCAGTAGTTTTAATTCACATTTTACAGATGAGAAACCTCAATTTGTAACTTACCTAAGGTTACATAGCAAGTGGTGGAATCGGGATATGAACCCCAGGCAGTCTGGATCCAGTCAATTCCTGCAGAAACTATGCTATAAATGAAAGTGAATAATATTTGCCATGAAATCTAGTACACTTGAAAACAGGAGGATAACAGATTAGCATTTCAGTTTTCTGACAATTAATGTATAAAAGAGGTACCTAATTAGCTATATGGTTTACCATGTCTATCAATGAAACAACACTAGTTTTCAAAGGGAGAAATACAATTTTCTTGAACAGATGAGGAGGAAATAGAATTTCAAGTTTTGTTTGTTAATGAAGGCACCTAGTGTAAATTGATTAAGTTATTTTAATATTTCCAGTTAAAACATTGTTATATCTAGTAGCTTGATATATCAATATAATCACTATGCAAATGTTATATGATGAATATTCAGTGCATAATTTTAATACACTTACTCAAACCAATCAAATAATTTCCTAATGTGATAATGTTTTCTAATTGAAGAATTCTATTATAGAATGAAATAGTATTATTTTGGAAATAATTTACAGCTGAATAAAAGTTTCAGCCTACAAAGTTTATAGTTTACTCAGGTTTACCCAGCTAGTGGCCAGACTGAATCTCTTCTCCAAGTTGTCTGACTTTATATCTTCGACTTTGTCCGAAGTGTCCAGTTGTCTGTGATGCTGGAGCATTCAGACCAATAAACAAAGTACATCTTTCCACAATGTATTTACTCGCAGTAAGTTTGCAAAGCATCTCACAGTTAGTGAAGTTATTAGCATTATGGCTGAGTGCCAAGTTTAGATAGCATTAAATGACCAGGTGAGCTTCTGTTCTTTTGGGTGGATAAATGAGAAATCTTTATAGACTGAATTATGCCTATTTTTTCACACTAAATTAGCTGTAGAAACTCAATTTGGCTAAAGTTACTTGCTAGATGACTGATAGATTACATCTGCCCTGTTTTCAACTATGACTTGTAAGTACGAATACATAAATATGGGTAAACTATAAACTTTTTAGGCTGCAACTTTATTCAGCTGTATATTTTTCCAAAATAATACTATTTCATACTATAATATCAATACTTCAATTAGAAAACATTGTTACATTAGGAAATTATTTGTTTTGTTAGAACAGAGACAGAATTTTTGCAGAATAAAGTGTTCCCAAATGGTAAATAAAAATCAGTATATCAAATTCACTCACAAAAGCCAAAATCTTACTTCTTGAAAGAAGAAATCACTCATCTTACAGCTACAGATTCGAAATTCTTGTTATTTTATGCCAGCCACACGATATTATTGCTTGCCTTTGGGGATAAATCTCTAAAGATTTTAGAGATTCAAATATGAATTCAAAAGCAACAGGGATCATTATCACATTCTCAAGTGAGTATTGAACAGTTCAATCCACACAAACACAACTAATCGGTTCTGTCAATCCTCAAGTGATCAATTTTGTTCATTTTATCTAGGTGTTGGTGTACTTTCATTTGGTAATTATTGGAAGTATAATATTATAAATTATCACATGGCTAAATATTGATTCTAAGTTCACTTTGATATTTCAGGTTAAGGAATA